AATTTATGGTTAAATACTAAGTGCTTCCATGTTCTACCTGCACCTCCTCCCAAAGTTCAACTATTCAGGGTAACCATTTTGGAGACTTGCAAATTCCATTTTCAATTTAGTTCCCAAGCACAGGGCACTCCACAACAGATATAGAAATGACATGTCTTGCTGATGGTGTTCAAGGACAACTGAAATTCCTCCAGGATGAGAATATGTTGGTAGGTATGCACTTGCTTTAGAGTAACCAAAATGTTTGACTTGTAGTTGTAAAAACAAAGAAATAACAATATTATAAATGCAGTCATGGGATGCTTGAAGCCCATGTACCTGGTCATTTCTTCACATACCTATAAATGACTAAAATTATATATACACATAGAGGAAGATTTGTGCCTATAGCTGCTTGCTCTTAAGGAAGAAGACACTTGAAATTGATGGGAAAGACACTGAAAATTAGTCTGGCCGGCGACGCGGCTCAATAGGCTAATCCTCCACCTAGCAGCACCGGCACACCGGGTTCTAGTCCTGGTGGGGGCGCCGGATTCTGTCCCGGTTGCCCCTCTTCCAGGCCAGCTCTCTGCTGTGGCCCGGGAAGGCAGTGGAGGATGGCCCAAGTGCTTGGGCCCTGCACCCCATGGGAGACCAGGAGAAGTACCTGGCTCCTGCCATCGGATCAGCGCGGCCAGCCGTGGCGGCCATTGGAGGGTGAACCAACGGCAAAAGGAAGATCTTTCTGTGTCTCTCTCTATCTACTCTGCCTGTCAAAAAAAAAATTAGTCTCAGTGAGACTATTACATTATTTTACATATTCCTTCCTTATGAGAATTTGACAGGTCCTTTTCCTCCAATGAATATAATATATGCATTTGAAACTAATCATCTTTCTCCTCTGGAATTCTTTGTCATTTTTACTTTCTCAAATTATTTCCTTTCTTTGTGGGTGATATAATTATAATACTAGGTACAGCTATAAATTAGCAATTAACTTGAAATGCATGGAATGGGAGTAAATTTGCCATTATTGACTAAAATCAACCTGATTCAATAATGTAATATACTTTAAAAATATAAATACTATTTAGAAATGATACCGTTTCATTTTTTTAATTTTTGAGATGTAGTATTATTTTTGTAAATGTCCTTTTTTTGAAAAGTAGAAACAGTATCAATTCATCACAATTATTTATAATATCCTATGCCCAAGAGTTTGGCATAATGCAAAAAGAAATGTGAACAATACAATGCACCATAATCTGGAACTCTCTTGATCTTATTATAAATGGTAGGCAGGTCTCATTATATCATATCACTTATATCAGAATCTTTCTGGAGTAGACCACAAGGTCAGAACTACAGCAAACAATAGACCTCCAAAGTCCTCTTTCTAAAGTCCTATTTCTAGAGAATTTTACCAACAGTTATTATCTGCTCACTGCAAGAAGTCAGCAGGTTTTTCTAATCTTTCAAATGACTGCTTTATTGTTTTTACTTCCAGGCAATCTTCCAGGCAATTTTTCGCTCCTCCATTCAGTTTCTTCCTCTCTGCCAGCAAATTGGTCTAACCAGCCCAGTCCATGTCTGAAGTAATCCCAGTGCCGAACGTCCTCACGTAGGAAGATCTCTCCAGGATCTGGGAAGACAAGCTCAACTGAAAGACCTCAGCCAAGCAGCTCTGTTCCTCACAGACAGAGCCTATTCTATATGGATGGTGGATAGTCACACTAAAGTGGAGCAAATCCAAACCATAAATAGCCTCATATCAGGTTTTTCTATCAAATTTGTTACAAACTTACGAAAATACCAGAGGACATCTCCACTTCCGCTCACTGAAAGAAGACTTAAAATTGACAATGGCCAGCAGCTCCCTGACAGTGGTAATTTGGTGATTGAACAATTCATAGAATTTACTGGCACATTCCAGAAACATTATTTTTCCCACCTTATCTGATCAAACCAGCCTTAGCACTTGCAAATTTCAACTACAAGCAAACATAGAGATGATACCTTTCCTGACAGATGGTAAACTAACAGTGCATTAACTCTTTATTCTTTTCAGACACTTCAAAGAATGGAGCATGCCTCCCCATCCCAACCCCACACCTGTTCCATTCTATTCCACACCCTGTATCTCCATTTGTGACATTATGTACTTCCGTGAGGCGCTCCTAAACTTTTCCATGGACCTTACCTCTTACACTGCTGACCCATTTTTCTGTCCTGATTCAAGCTTGGGGTTGCTACTTCCTTTATTTTTAGCTAGAGAGATGTCTTCTTGTCTTTTTCTGCCTACACAACTAATGTATCTAGTTTTTCGGAGATCCTATATGAAAGAGGCAGGCCAGAGTTAGGGACCCTAGCTGATAGCCTTTGCCCCCCTAAGGCCCCTGAGACAGAGGTGATCATGGTGATAACCATGCCTTGGCCTTTGTATGACATGACAAGGTAGGGACAACAAAGTCAGTCTAAAGATTCTCCAGTCAATCCTTCCTGGCTAGGAGCTCTAATTTCTTTCACAGTTCAATGAAGGCGCATTTTATCTCTCAGGTCTGAATCCATCTCATTCCTTAATTTTGTCACACATTTACATATATCTTTCTTGTCATCTTAGGAAAATTTTAAATGGAGGTTTTCATTCAATGTTAGCTAACTGTTGGAATTCCCTGTTCTACTTTTTCCACATTTACGGTAAATGCAGGTTCATTATTAATTACATATGCAATTTTGGAGCTAGCTATGTTAAAGGATTCCAAATTTCTCAGATTTATAAGGATACTGAAGTGCATATACTATACATTTGGCAACATCCAAAAGCATTAGTGGCTGCATATTTATTCACTCTACAGTTGGATAAATCAAAACCATCAATATTCTCACGTCACATTTCCCCATCAAATTAGTTTGTTACAGACTTAGAAAAACAAAACAAGAAAAGGGCTTTTGTTTTGAAAACTGTATGTTGAGACTGAAGACTAAGGGTGGTGGATTAGTACCGTGTTGTACCATTCTACAAATGATTGATAGAGGGGTTGAGTATAATAAGAGAATTTGATTTTCTAGTATATAGACAATTGTATGAAGCACAAAGAAAGCTAAATTAAACAATGGCTGAGAACAAAATAGAAAATTTAAGTAAAACAGGTGACAGATGGAACAGCAGGTTGAGGGACTTAATGGCAGAATGAGAGGCAAAAAAGATAAATATTGACTGCCTAGAAAAAGAATTTATTAAAGAGAAAGTGACAGAACTTGGAAAAACATTTCTTTATAACTTTGACAGAACAGTGAAGAAACTTTCTTAAAAACTGTTTTTGAATGTGCATTCTAAATGCACAACCTAAGTCCAGATGGAAAAAACAACAAAGGAGTCCTGTTACCCCAGTCCATGGCCCTGGTGTTAACACCTGCTAGTGCTGCAGGAGGAGCTGTGTTCCAGGAGGAGCGCTTGGCTTCTTTCTGGCTGGGAGGCCAAGAGGCCAGCAGGGAGCCGGCGGGCGAGGCCCTCAGGTAGGGGCAAGTAGCCCTGCCGCTGAGTCTCATTCTCCAGCTGCTGCTACTTGCATCAAAATGCGGTCAGCGATGGAAACCTGCGGCTCGGCGGGAAAGCAACGCTCCTGGGGCAGAGCAGGAAACCCTCGGTCCATGACGGTGTTTCCTAAAGGGGCGAGGGTCGTCTTCCAAATTCCAGATCTTAACCACTGTTGAGAAGGCGAAGGTCTGAAAACACCTTCGCGGCCGCCACTGATCAATTTCACGTCGTTTCTTTCCTAGCGAGGCTGGAAAGCCGCCTGGCCCACGCTGGACTCGCTCCCGCAGAGCGCCATCCCAATTCCAGGGGCGCGGGGTGGCCGCACGGAGCGCGGACTGCAAGGGGCGCGTGCGTGGGCGCCGGGGCCGCGTGCCTGGCCCGAGGGCGCTCCTCACAGCCCCACTCGTTTCGCACGCACCGGGGATTTGCCGCCTGCCCGCTGCGGGCCCGGGCCGGGTCTTTCGGGGGCCAAGGACGGCCCAGCGCCCAGGCTGGAGTCCGGCTTGGCCCGGGGCGAAGCCCAGCGCACCGAGGACTCCGCCAGCCCGCAGGGCGCCGAGCGGCGGCGAAGACACGGTCCGCCCGGCATCTGGGCGCACGCTCAGCCCGCGCTGGCGCCGGCGCTCCACAAACGCCCTGCAGCGGGGGCCCGAGGCCGGCGCGCCCAGGGCTCCGCAGCGCCGGCAGCGCGGGGCGAAGCGAGGCGACACGAAACCGGGGCTCCCGGGCCCGTTCCGGGACGGGGAGGGGGCGGCCGTCCTGGACGGGGAGGGGGCGGCGTGCCGTCCGTCACTTTTCTCCTCTCAGGACGGGAAAGTGCCCCGGGGTGGGAGCGCGTTACACGACTGAGGGCACCTCACCTTGCTGCGGGAGCCAAGCCTAGGCACCCCGGCCTCCACCTGCGACGCCGTCTAGAAAGGCACCTGCCCCTGCTCCCTAAGGAAGGGGGCCCACGTCACGGGGAGGGGGCGGCCAAGGCCCCGGAGCGAGCGCGGCCAAGGAAGGGCGGCCAGGAGACCCCGGAGCGAGCGCGGCCAGGGAAGGGCGGCCAGGCCCCGGCCGCGGGGAGAGGCGGGGAGCGCTCGCGCCCGGCTCCGCGCGGGGCAGGGCGGCGGGGGGCGGGGCGGCGGTGGCTTCTTTTGCCTCGGTGCCGGGAGTTAGCCCGACCCTACCTCTTCTTTTCTTTTTTCTTTTCTTTCCTTGTTAAGTGTCTGTTTTGTATTTTTGTTTGTTTTTTTTTTTTTTTTTTGTTGTGTTTTTTTTTTTTTTTTTATTTTTTTATTTTTTTTTTTTTTTTTTT